TCCACCAGCTTCTCCCCTCCTTCTCCACCACCTTCTCCCTTCTCCCCTTCCTCATTCTTCACCAGCTTCTCCCCTTCCTGCTTCTCCACCAGCTTCTCCCCTCCTCCTCCACCACCTCACCATGCTTCACACTTCTGGACGTGATTTTTGTACGGAAGTAGCTGGCGCCGCCCAGCGGATCTTTGTAACGTTGGCTCTGATTGGTAGCAACGGGGATTTAATGACAGACACTAAATGATTTAGTGACAGACACTAAATGATTTAGTGACAGACACTAAATCATTTAGTGTCTATCATTAAATCATTTAGTGTTTGTCAATAATTCCATGCCTGTGATTGGCTGAGAAAAAATAAGTTGTATCTGATTGGTTGATTTAATGACTATCACTAAATAGAATATATGATAGACATTAATTCGAATATGTGACTGTCACTAAATACCATTTATGTCCCACCTCGCCTGCCATACACGCACGCTCGCACGCATGCACGCACACACGCACGCACGCACACAAACACATACACAGAGACCTCTAATCAATAGGTTTCATCTCCAGGCTTTAGCTGCGTTTACCCCGCGGTGAATGTGGATGTAATGAGGCATGCAAATCAGAAATTCCAACTGTCATATTGATTAATTATCTCATCATGTCGCGCGCATTAATCTAAAGTATAAAATTGGTACAATAATTTGGAATAAATGTACTAGCGGGCGCGCACTATCACGCGATTTGTTCGTGACGATGTGATGCATGGATTAGTGAATGAATGAATGAACAAACGAATAAATGATTATATCAATGAATGAACGAATGAATGAATAAATAAATGAATGAATGGTGAATAAATAATAAATAAATAAATAAATATAAACCTTTTCATTGAATGAAATGATAGAAAATGAAAATAAACGAATGTAAATTTTTTGTGTAATAATATTATACCTATGCATATATATGAATAAATGAATGAGTCAGTAAACGAACGAACGAACGAACGAACGAACGAACGAACGAACGCACACACGAACGCATGAACAAAAAACTTAAAGAGCGAACGAAAGGATGAACGAATGAACGAATGAGTAAATAAATGACTCAATGCACAAATGGCTCAATCAATGGCTGAATCAATAAAAGAATGAATGATTGATTTAAAAAAAATTATAACATCAATGTTTTCACACCTCACGATGGTCGCTCCGCTTCAGTCCTCCGTGTGACGTGTGTCATTTTCAGATATCAAAATGCACGACGATCTGTCCAACCATGCGGTGATATCTCACTTACTAATCTAGACGCTCAGCTTTACAACACATTGAAGCTTCCAGTTTGCTCGGGTTCTCACCTTTTCACGAGTCGCTGCGATTCTCTGGGTTCGTGCTATGAAGCCTCGAGTCCAAGCAGCCGACGTTAGTCCAGCCAAGTCTAACCGATATTAGTTGTGACCTGACCGGAATTTGCTCTAAGGCAGCAACATTGACTGGTTGGTAAAAACGTCTACCCTCTCACACTTCTGCCATATAGTTATTAGCTCACAATCTCACCCTCGTCCTGAAACATAACGAGAGCGAAGACAAACATATTATAGTTTAGGGGTAAAGTCGAACACCGGGATGGCTAACATACGTTGAGAATACTGGTTTTTATGGGAAGCGATTAACTATCCTCATGCGTTGCTGTAATATAGGTATCGATTAATTATATGGCAATATGAACCGTAAATATTGTCAGATTTATGACGTGTTTTAGTGACTAGGCACACAGACGATCGTGCGTGCTCGGAGTTGTGTCTACACATTTGCGCGTGTGCTCGTCCGCAAAGGTTAAGGGGGTCGCACACCAGCCGATTTTTCACGCGATTTGATCGGCCCGATAAAAATCAGCCGATATCGGGTAGGTGTGCGCGTTCATTTGTAGACGAGTTTACTTACGATTATTTTTATCGGGTGATCGTTCCAAATCAAACATGTTTGATTTTGAACCGATTATTTTGAAGCGATTTTGTGTAATCCGACAAGATTTTGTGGTGTGCGCGTGAACTCAGGAAAATCGTCTACGATAAATATTGAACAGCCAATAGCTGAACGTGCCCGTGTCACATGACATTCAAAATGGCGCCTACCATAGACAACGCGTGGACGAACGAAATTGAGGGAGATTTAAATAATCAATTTTATCGTAGGTGTGCGGGTGTTTATCGGAAGGCGTCGCAATGAGCCGATTTTACAAACGATGAAGAGATTTTTTAATCGGACCGATTTTTGGGTAGGTGTGCAACGGCCTAGCTTACAATACAATTAGCTTACGGAAACGCTTAGCAATACAATTTATCACATCTAATATATAAATTCGCGTAATTTTTATTTCATAGCTAAATTTAATTCAGTTCCTTGTGAAAGGAACCCAGTGTTACGTTCACAATTTATCACATCTAATAAATAAATTCGCGCACGTTTTATTTCATAGATAAATTTAATTCAGTTTCTTGTGAGATGCTTTGTATATTGTATATGTGGTGAGTCGGACAAGGAACTAAATGTGTGCTATCTACATCACCTTTTGTTGTGTGAACGACGACAGCTCATAATCTAATGACGAAAACGTGCATCGTCGCAAAAGCGTGACATGAAAAATAAATGTCTATATCTCACTCTCATAATTACAAGGTGTCCCCGGCTGACGTAGCACTAATAAAATGTAAATAATAAATTTGATGACATTATGCCTTTAAAATAGTAAGCGTATAATAATACTCAACGCAGTAGCCTGACATAAAATAATTCTTTAAATTTCACTTTAATGTTTACCCCAGCGCACGTTATACCGATCAAAATTAAATTTGAAATTAAAGTTGTCATTTACAGTTCAAAATAAAGAGCATATACCTGTCAAAGTATCTTAACATAACAAATAAATCGCGATATCTCGATTTGATAATTGCAAAATGCCAGAGTCTTGCAGCCGGGCTAAAGAAATCCGAGTGAAAACGAAACCACATAAAATAATGGCGATGTGTTTTACATGGCATATGCAGTTGTAGATTAATGACGGATATTACATACAAGTAAAATTGTGCAGTTTCTTTCTCATTGTTGCAATCGATGTCGGTCATGTAAACACAAAGGCATTTTATGCCTTGTGTGTCAGTATAAATGCAGTTTAACATTTAGGCACACAATTGCGAATAGATGTAACATTTTCTTTAGTTTAGAGAGCATATAAGAAAAAACGCATGTTTAGCGAATTATTTTTTGGCGATAATTGGAAATTAAATAATAATAAATAAATAATTGGAAATATTTTTGGAATTTATTGGAATTTGTTGGAATTTATTGAAATTTATTGGAATTTATTGGAATTATTCGCATAGTTGGAATATATTATTTGGCGATAAGGGATTATCGGGGCCAAAAAATAATTCGCCAAACATGCGTTTTTTCTTCCATATTTACCTTATTCGTAACGTAAATACAGCGATGGGCTGTACAATGTATTTAGTTTAGCGTGTCATAATATTTGGACATGGACGCATTACCATCGCGTGACAAGGATATTGAAGCAATAAAGGCACTGTACAATTTTCTTGGCACATGTTACCACAAACACAACCGCAACAATGTTAATATTATTATTTTTTTATTTCTTTAGTTTATTTATAATTTGACGTGGCAATGTTGATAATGATGCTACCAATCGCGGTTCAAAAGCGACTCCAGATAAATAGTATACGATAGGTATGATAGATGATCACACGCGTGGGAGGCACAAGAAATTGCAAAGTATGTACAGTAATGTAGATGCATGTGCCCGTGCACAGAAAAACCAGGTAAAACTTGACGATTCAAACGTTTTCATGCTTCTGTTTATTTTTCTACATAACCACATTACGGCGATTACACAATTAATTCATTAAAATAACAGATTTTTAGATCGAGATCACATTACAGATACTTATCAGGAATTGTGACTAAAGTACCATATAAAATATAAGATATTTAATTCTCAATCATTTAAGCTGTTATTGTTACAGCTATATAATTCGAGATTAGAATTATAACAATTTGAAACCGGAAAACCAAAGTCAATAATCTATTAACTAAAGGCGGTCGTGCTTTCGGCCCCATTTCTGTTCAGCATGTGTAGACTGTGATGGTTTTCTTACTCTTTGCCGGTTGGTCATGCCCACAGAATGTGTACCTTTATAAGCGATAAAAGATATACGTACTACAGACTAACAAAATCTAAGCATCTTGAAGCGATAAAAAGTATATTACACACATTTAAAGAACACGTTATAATATCACATTCGATTGAATACAAAAGGTGCCATCTAACCCACCACACATACGCACCACGCACCACGCACGCATGCACATGCGTTCACGCGCCACGCGCCACCTGCACACGTACCTACACACTGCACACGCAACACGCAACTGACGTCACCGCACGCGCACAGCACGCGCACGCGCACAGCGCATGGCACGAGACGCACACACACACATCACCACACACACACGCACCACCGCACACACACCACGGACACATCAGCGCACGACGCACACACATCACACAACCACAACCCGGTGCTGTTGCAACGAGCTGTATAGCGATCGCGCTACACTACACACATCACACATCACACACATTCACACGCACACGCACATCGCCTCCGCCACACGCACCCACACATCACACACCCACACACACAACGCAGCCACATAAACACACACACACAGCACTCACACACACCACACACATCACACCACGCGCACACACACACGCATCTACTAACAGTCAATACTTTTACCAGAATCTTTATTAGCATGTACGTCTCCGCATGGTCCAACCTTCGATTTTCACAGCCGCCCCACACCCTCGCCGTAGCGGGGCATTACCTTGCGGCGTGAAACAGTGCGTCTGTTAGATGGCAGCACCGCTGAGCGATGAGTAATGATTTCCAATGGACAATATCGGTTTTTGTTATCATGGCACTTGACATTGTCGGCACCAATTGAAACGCGAGATTTTTCCAGCCACATAAAAAATAAACATCATTTTGATACTTACACTTCTTCGGGAAGACCCTCTCGAATTATGACCTTGTCCACAAACCAGGTATCGGGAAACAACCAGGAATTGAAGCTGTTGTCATCGAATTCTAAGTCCATTTTGATTAACACACCTAGCTTCTTTATTGGCCGGATACGAAATTCGATGTAAACGGGTGAATCTGGTTCCAGATCGACATTGCCTCTGTAAATTGTAAACAAATAGCAATTCAGCGTTACAGGTTTAAATCAAACGTATGAATAGCATTGTTATGCAGGCCATGCATAGAAATGATGCGTTTATTGATACATTTTTAGATTCGATGTTGTTTTTCGCTTAATGAGTCTATTGAAGGACTAAATATATACCGCAAATTAATTACAAATACGTAAAAAGTGACGTCTTAAAGAGTTGTGTGTTGAGTATATAATAATATGTAAAAGAGCGATTGTCTGGACAGACACATGAACACGAGTGATATATCTCATCATTGTACTCACGGAGATATTGTTATCACGTTATGGTGGAGCCATAATCCTCGTCATCATTGATACTCACGGAGTATATTGTTATTTATGATCGAGTAACATATCTTCATCATTGTCACCTTCCACGAGAATTGTCATTATGTCGAAAGATATATCTCATCATTGTACTCCGGAGATATGTAATGGTCGAGTGATATATCTCATCATTGTACTCACGGAGATATTATCATCATGGTTTCAGAAATACGCTCGGAGCCGTAGATGGTCGCCCGAATCATGCCGTAAACCTTATCAGCGGAAGACGAGGTCAAAATCTGTATCCCATATGAGTGCTCTGAAAGTTACATAAACATCAGATTTTTATCTATGAAAAAGACCGTTTTTAGTACATGTATTTGTATTTGAATTACTTGCAATTAAGATTTAATAATAATAATAATAATAATTATTATTATTATATATCACCACAGTTTCACGCCAACCATGCATGTAGTCACATTTATTTGGCTACACTAATACACAGATCTATATACACACGCGCACACACATACACGCACGCGCACGAACTCACTTGCTCACGCGCGTACGCAAGCAATTTAGTGTTACATTAATCATATTGTTTTCTCCAATTTCTCAAATGAATGCGCGAATATTCATTGTAATGTTTCTGACGATTATCGCACCTTTATTCTCACGAAATACGGGCATACCTTACACTCTCGCGTAATTAGTTTTAGTCTACTAATATATTTCAATCCTATATTATTTTCTAGATCTATCGTAACTGACATAGTCGCCATGCATTTTACCCGCACAACTGACTAGCATACAATATACGTGTAAATGCAAGTAGTCCGTCACTAACCGCAATACATGGGATTTTCTCCCGTGCTCAGATACAGACTGCCGCGCCCTCTGGTGTAGCTTTCCGAGTGATAACCCATGCTGGAACAGAGTTCACGCTCGCACGTGGAGCACAGGCCGTCATCGTAGTCATCGTATGAGCCGCACACATAGCTAGCGTACGGACACAGGTCGATAGCGTTGATGGAATCAGTGTAGAAGTCGGCCGAGCGCACGTGATTGCACGAGAATGCCATCAGAGCACCTATAATTTATATGGACGTTGTGGAAATAATACGTTTTGTTTGCGCAATTTAGGACATTCGATGGCGAAATCTTCCTTGAGTTTCTCCATGGGTCAGTGTGGTCGCTGTCAGATTTCAGGAGGTAACACAATACATATCGCACCCAATACTGGCGTTACTGAAACGTTATGCAGACCTAAACTAGAACTGGAATGCCAATTTCGCGTTTCAAAACAATGTGTCCATATGGGTATCATCAGGTGATAATATAATGATAACATTTGTGATTAAACATATCAAAAATAATTAAAAATAATTAAAAGTAATCTGTCATTTACCCCTGGTATCATGTTTCATGACGCAACTACGTTGAACTATACGATGTAAGCAACACTAATTCAGGGGATGACCTACCTAGAAGATCCAACGTGATAAGTTCCCAAATTGTGCCCCAGAATGTATCGAAAAGGTTGCCGCAGCCTGGCTGGTTAAGCCCTCCGTTGGGATAGAAGTCAACATGGCCGACCGCCATCTTGATTCCCAGGCCCAGAAAGTAGATGGGCAGCATATCAGTGTGAATGACGTCAACGAAATCCGCATCTGTCGGATCCAGTCTCACTACGGGATCGGTGTTTTCAAAGTAGGGACCCACTGGATCCAAACCTGATGGAATGAAAAGCACATTGTCGTCGTAGTAGTTAAAAAGACGAGTTAAAAAGTTAAGTTAATAGATAGAAAGCACGGTGACACCCATGCTAGACGCTTGGTCCTCATTAAAACTATTAATACATTATATATTACATTATTTATTTATTACTAACAGTGAGCCGGCCATGATTTCTATGCCAACAACAAGGCCTGCTACTGTAGACCAGAGCTCTGCTGAAGCGAGGGAGGTTGTCAATGAGAGGTAACCGTATAAAGAATAGGCGAGGCTGTGTGCGACTGTTACTTCATACAAATTGCAAATTTCATCCTACACCAAACTCGTCCGGGCGAGGCGCGCGTAGATTTTTACAGTGTGTATACGCTATCCCGGGTCAAACACGCGCTTGTCCAGACTAAGTTAGCCCCACTGTGACATTGACATTGACTGTGATAGTGATAGTGACGGTGACTGAGACATTGTCCGTGGTCACTGTGACTGTGACTGTGACTGTGACTGTAACATTGTCCGTCGTCACTGTGACTGTGACTGTGACTGCGACTGTAACATTGTCCGTCGTCATTGTGACTGTGACATTCAATGTGACTGTGACATTGTCCTCCGTCGTCACACTCACCGCTGATTCGCCGCAGACCGTCCACACGTTCTCCAGCGTAGCCGGCGATGTGAGCTCCCAAGCTGTGACCGATGATATGCACTTTACTGTTACTGATCTCCGCCTCCTGCCCGAGCCAGTCAAGCATCTGCGCGATCTGGGCACCGACTACCCGCGCGTTGGCCGTAGATTGACTGTACATCTTCGAAGCACCCTCCCTCCAGTCGACGCCGATGACGTTGTAGTCCTCCTGCGTGTTCGCGACAGCGCGCGTTTCGCACGCGAAATAAGTAATTAATGATATTATAATTAATAATAAGTAATTAATGATATCAAGAGTATAATAGTATAGATTATAATATATTATTATGAATCTATATTATTACACTCAGGGACTGATGATATTATATCTTGAATGGCCTGATTATCATTGCTGCCTTATACCTGGACATCTGCAGGATTTTGATCATGGAGGGACACTAGCGCATTTCCGTTCGTAATATGGCTAGACACAGTATTTAACATTGTATTGAGTTGTATTCTGTGTACTATGTACTATACTATGTCCATTAAAACGGGGTCTCGATATCTCTATTCGATCAGTGTAATTATTCATCGTAACTGCGTAACGTACGCACGTATAATCATATATGATTTGACATAATGCCCGTAGAACATACCCACAGACAATATGCCCGCCATATTTACATTAATGTGGGTATACCTAATTGCTCGGACGTACACAAATACACGCACGTACGCACGCACGTACGCACGCACGCACGCCCGCACGCACGCATGCACGCCCGTACGCACACGCAGACAGACACATACACACGCACACACACACACACACACACACACACACACACACACACGCACACACACACACGACACACACACACACGACACACACACACATATTATATATATATTAATAATCTCTACACGCAAATATTTGTACACACCTGTGACAACAACTGGGTGATTAGCTGCTGCGCCCATTCTTCGTTAATGTCGTGAATCCAACCATGAACGACGAATACGGTTCTCCTAGCGGCATCGAAGTTACTCGCCTCGAGGCTCGCTGCATTGTTCACCTCTATGTGCTGTTCATTCCCGACTCCGAAGTTATCCCTGTTTCAACATACAACACTGCTATTTATTTACAATTTAAAGGGATCGTTCACTTTAGGTTCTAGGGTTATTTTCAGTTAATTTAGGTTAAAATTACGCTACATAAAAAGTTTCATGGTTCAATCACTGTTAGCAATATTATTAAAAAATGTTTTAAAACTAACGACTACAGTTTGATTACAACGACGGTGGCGCCACTCAAAGCGCACGATCTGATACGTTGCGCAAAACCACTTTCCAGCCAAGGGCTACAGACCGAGGGTGTTTCTTATTTATTCATTTAAAAGCAAAAGTGTTGTAATATCTTATAAACGACATATAGTTTCAGTTATAATATGGATAAATTTGCCCTAAAATGAATATCGTTCGGTTAAATAGCATTTAGGTATAAATATAATTGCACTTTTGTGATTAGCCCTCGGTCTGTAACGTGCAAAATAAATTGTCAAATACGCAACTTTTGGTGGATATATGTTTCCATGCCATCGAATGTTCGAGTGACGTCAGTGTACGTCACGCACGAACTCGG